AAAAAATTTGTCACTCGCTTCGCTCGCGGTTTGAGGTAATAGATGCCTCTTGTCATCCTCTCAAAGACCAAAGCTTTTAGGTATGAGTTATGAGTATAAATTCTGTCACAATGGTCAGCATGCAACTCTTCACGTCCAACAGTCTCTTCAAGTTTCAATAAATATGGACAAAATGGCAAACAGTTTCTGAGAATTGAATTTTTAAAGAAGGAAAATAGTTATTTTGCAATGGGGGTGAGGGAGGCGCCGAAGGCGCCCTCAGGCTTGCCCCCCCCTGGTTCAAAAACGTTCCGCCGCGCCTGGTCAGAAACCCGAGGTTTAAAGCCCTCAGGGCATTCAAGACATTCAGGTATGAAGTATCCTCCAGCCATACATACATCAGTGGAACAGCTTGTAACAAGATAACAGATTAGGCATGTTTTGTTGACTGAATTCCATTACAAAGATGCTCACACCACTCCTTACCAGAACTTTCCCCTGGTCGCCCTGGATAAAAAATCCTACCAGGAGTACTTTTCCCAGAGTGGCCGGGTGCCTGGGAGCTATAGGACTGTAGGTAATGAAGATGTCGAGAACCTCAGGAAGATCGAAGGTCTGCGACCTAAATACAACACTTTTACCTTGTGGCACCTCAATGGGGCCAACGTAAAATTTTCTGTCCCTCGTTAGTGCCATGAGCGTGAACGAGTTCCATTTTGGATCTTCTAGCGTAGTAATCAAAGCCGCCATAATGGTGGGAGGTGGCTGGACACACTCCCTTGCTCGCCTGATGATAGTTCTGACCTCTGACGCGGAGAAGATTGATGCGCCAAGGGGATACCTGAAACAACATTTTTAAACAGCGAGTTGATGAAAAGCAATTCTTTGTGCCAGCCAGGAAGTTTCTTTTCATGTCTTTGACCTAAGGTAGATTTTCACTTTTTACATAAAGCCTTTAATAACTAATTTTGGTTGAACGTAAAAACACAAAATCTACCTGAGGCCGAAATCACGGAAAAGGGCAATGTCAATAAATAGTTAAGTTTCCTCAATCAAATAAACTGTATGGGAAATTTAAGCAATCAGGTTTAGTCAGAATCAAGTGCGAACGCATGAATCCTGAAGAGATAGTTTCCAGTGGTTTTTGGCTAGAAACTAGGTTTTCCCATGACATTTTTGTACTTTGTATAGCTTCAATCGAATCAGGAGATAGAACAGACAACACTTCCCAAGTAAGGCAAACAGTTAAATTTGAACAATTTAGTTTATCTGGTCAGCAAACCCAATAATTTCATTTTTTCGTAGTCCCCGCCCATCAAAATGCAACAGATGATTTCAGACACCAACAAAAGGTCGTGGACAAGCAGTGCAGCTTGGGCCGCAGCAAGAATAAGGGGGCACTTTGATATTCATACCTTTGAGTGAGTGGAACGACGATCGCGTCGACTTCTAGGGTAGTCAGTGTGGCCTCATCACGCAGACTCTAACAAACAGATACTTCTCTTCTTCATCTCTATCTGGAGGGTGCGAGTGGTCCACGAGAGTTCGAAAAAACGTGTCTCCCTCGCAGTACACCGCTGTGCCCGGGCAACCCCGAATTGAGTGGCACCTCAGATAAACAACATCGGCAGTTCTTCGGGAAGAACTATAGATGTGGGAATCGGCGATGAACAGGCGCCCGTTGGCGCGTTCTCCCGAATAACAGTAACTTCTTGCGTGGCCATGATGCAGAGCAGATCAGCCACTTGACACGGGGAGGACCTGAACCTGAGACTTGTCAGTCGAATGGGGCGCTGAGTGTGCTACAAACACCCACCTCAAGGGTCTACTCTCCACATCCAAAGTCGATTGCTGGAGGTGACTTACACAAATAATGGAGTCCAGTCACTAACAACAAAGAAATAATACACTCATAGAGAACACAAGTATGAACACATTTAAAATATAACACATACGCTTTGAAAAAACTGAGAAAATCACATAAACTGAAAACTTACCAGTTCGTAGCCTTTGGGTTGGAGATTCAGGATTCACCCGCCAAACATTGCCATTGGCCAAATAAATGGACGACTCCCATCGGTCTGAGGTTCTACTACACAAATGAAGATCAGCATTCGAAATATGAAATGTAAACACGAGAAGTAACAAGCTGAAAAACCATAATTAATCAAAATATCTATGTCTATTGTCTCGCGTGAATAGTGCACGAATTAAGGAATGTGCCTCGTCGCAGAGCCGTTTGAATGAATTGGTCTAGCAGCCCAAAATCACGAACACTACAACCCGCTTATCTATTTTTTCTGATGGCACTTCAAATGAGCAACCCGCTCGGAAACACGAATTTCTGAGCGAGGAGAATCAGCGGAAAGAAGCCTTCTGAAGTCTGGGAATACAAACAAGAATGTCTTACCTTTAAAACAATACAAAGCCATGTCATGTAACAACACAGTTCATTATACTCTACCTGTAAGATGGGATACGTAGACTTCCCAAAAGATATTTGTACGAATACGAAACTACTCATGAAAACGCTTTCATATGAGGTAGGAGGAAATGTGAAAAGAACGAGATCTTACATTAACAGAAAAGTTGTTGGAAAGCGATAGTCAGGTAACTTTAAAAGACTTTGTCATGTTTACCTTTTCAAAAAATTATTTATTAGTGGCATCAAAACTTGATCACTGCGATGGTTTACGCATTATTTTAATTAGACTTTATTTCACAGCAAATTTGAATAAATTGACAACCCTAGTAACACATAACTGTCGTACGACAGTCGGACAACAGTAGAAAAAAAATACGAACCATCGGTGCGATATACGAAATGAGAAAAATGATTCTATCGGGATACTATTTTTTTTCCTCGAAACGAAAATCGTTAACGGCCAGCTATCGTAATGGAAGCCAAAAACCACTGTTGTGGATGCGATCAGGAATCGATAAAAATACAACAGAATTGTAGATGGTTTAAATTTGATAGACCAGCGACAATCGTCTGACTATGGGAAAGCCACCACTTTTGGATTTTCGTTATTGTCACAATAATTGGACGATAGATAAAAATCACACTATGTGCGACAATCTTGTGTTACTAGGGAAGTTAGAGCAGGGAGGACACTAACAAAAATTTTAAATGAAAAATGGTACTTCAGGTGGCAAAATTGACAAAGAAAAAAATCCACCAAAAAACAGAGTAGCAGAGAGAGATGATGCAGAGTGCAGCTACGGAAGCCAAAAAAATTGCTTTTTGTAAGGGGAGAGCTAACCTTTAGGTGCCTTTCTACGCGATTGATCTAAAACCTGTGTGCTTTGATATAGGGCGGGAACACAAAAATCTGATCCGAAATACGTTCAGTCGCTCTACCCAGTATTATACGCGTCGGCTACCCCTCATGATTAACTGTGAAGCCTTACTTGTGCTCAACCCGGGTAAACACTATAGAGTGTATGACTGGCAATTGAGGCAAGTGTCACACTGCAGTACACTACAATTCCGTGATGAGTGACTTTTCGGCACCCACGTTTCATCTCTTTTACGGGCCTGTTTTGTATGCTTATGGCACACGTTTGTGTAACATCGTGACTGTCAGCACGACACATTTCTTACATAAAGGCAGCTTGTCCATTTCAACTCAAACTTAATCATGGCTCGCATTGCTTCTCTCGTTCTTCTGGCTGCGTTCGCTGTGAGTTCATTCTCTTTAATTTAGACCGTCTTTAACGTTTAAGGGCTGTTCCACCGGGCTGAGTGAGGAGAGAGTACGGCACATTGGTTCACAATCAAACATTACTAGGGGAGAGCAGTCGCTGCGAAATTGCACAAACTGTAAAAAAAGATTGTACAACTCTGACTGCTTTTCAGAATGGACTGGCGAAGTTGTCGGCAACCATTCCATCGCACAGCCAGCGATTTGAAAGAGAATCCCAGAGTAACGGCCTAAAATAGGGGCGTTTATCGAATTTTTTGTGAATAGAAAGATTTTTCAGCAAAACCGGCAAAATTGATATTTGTTTAAATATATAACATTCTCTCCTGCTTTTTCCATGTAGTGGGTTAAAGCCAGCTAACACTTGCACTACATCTGTATATTTATATTTAGTTTAAGTATTTTACGGTATCTCTAAGAGAAATAAAAAAATAAGCCTCTGGGTTGTTAAACGCGTTAGGGTTCGAAGTTATGAAATTTGTTACAACCGTTGCCACCTTGTTTCCTCAGGTCATCCTGCTCTCTGGAGTAGATGCAGGCGTGCGTCATGACTTGAAGAACCTCGGACACGACATCAAGCACAACGTGGGGTCAGCTGTCGGTGGTGTTACCCACGGCGTCGCTAACGCCGCGGGTACTGTGAAGCACGGAGTTTCTAGCGCTGCTAATACTGTGAAGCACGGAGTTTCTAGCGCCACTAATACTGTGAAGAAAGGCATCAACAATGCGCGCCAGAAGGTCGCAGATAAAATTGCACCTGGTCAGTAAGTGCCCTGGGCTGCGACCCAGCCCATGTCGCGTTTGACCACACATTAATAGAACGTAAACGATGTTCCGTACCACTGGCATCTATTTCTTTACGTTCCGTTTCCTCCCTTAATAAAATTGTTATATTTTACCGATAAGACAATTGTGCAATATTTTCACAATTGTGTGTGCAAATTAAAATTTGGCACAGAATACCGTGCTTGAACTGTATCTGCGCATGTGTTATGTGCAAAGTCTACATAAGTATCGTAAACGCTCATAGTTTGCTAGATCGGACACATTCGCAGATTGTGGAATCATACAGCTATGTGCAGATGACGTCACAAGTTTGTATAGCTTATTGACTTCACAGTAATTTGGTCAGACACACTTCACTGAGAAAAA